TGTGTGTGTGTGTGTGTGTGTGTGTGTGTGTGTGTGTGTGTGTGTGTGTGTTTGGCTATGGTAGATGCATCACTTGAGTCCAAGAGTTTGAGAACAACCTGGTTATATGATATTGTCCCTTATACTTCACAAACAACAAAAGGGCAGCAAGTGGTAGGTTTTTGGATTAAGGGTGGCATTTCCTTCAAGTAAAGACTAGAATACTAGCTCTTTTCTAGTCCTAATTCTCAAAACCCGGTTATAAGGTAAGTAACATCCTGTTCAATGATGTGCTATGCTGCCTCACCACAGGTCCCAAAGTAATAAGACCAGCTGACATCAGATGGAAACTTCCAGCACTATGAGTGAAAATAAACTGTTCTTTATAATTTGATCATTTCAAGCATTTCAGCTGCTCAGGAAGGTATAATTTATTGATCATTTTTGTTTTTTTTTCTTTTGAGACTGGTGATCATGTGGCTACAAGATAGTGAAGGATGATCTTGAACTGCGGAATCTCTCCTCTCTACCTCTGAATCACCAGAATTATAGGTTTGAGCTACTGTGCCCAGTTTAAATGGTGATGGAGATTAAAACTGGGCCTTAATGTATAGTAGGTGTGCACCCTTATATAACCACCTTCAGTTGCTTTGTACACTTCAACTGAAACAAGATAGGTGGAAGAGAGATGAAGACATAGGAAAGATCTAACGCATTCTAGAGAAATTTCATTGTCATAAATACTTCTCTGACGACTACTGGTAAAGAAAATGTCAGTGGAAGAGAAAAGATCAATGAAACCACTGAATGGAGACTACCTGAGGGCTTGACTGCCTTAAATATGAACACTTTCAACTGTAACAATTAGGTCTTGATAAGATGCATTTCCCAGGCCAGTAAGAAGGTAGAAGGTGCTTGCTGCCAAGCGTGATGACTACGTTAGAGTTCCCAGACCCAACTATGGGGGAAGGACAGTATCGATTCCTCAAAGTACTTTGCCATCCACACATCCACCATGGCACACTACATACATACATAAGACACACAAATACACATAATACTTTTTTTAAAGTTGGAAAAATGGATTTCACACAGCATAATCTATAATAAAACTTTACATAAATAACCATTTGGATATAAACAGAACTAGAAACTACAAACAATAATGGATACTAATATCTATAGCTTTGGATCTTTGTTGATTACATGGTATCTCCCACTTCCACTTTACCACTCCCTATTTAATATATTCTCTATTTTCCAGAAATTCTGCAGATCACAAAAGTAGAACCCCATGTGTTTGATGAACGTCATCTCAATTCTAAACATTTTCGATGTTGAAGTACTTTCAAGAGCAAAGTGGGCTGAGGAGGCATCTTAGTACTATATGGAATATACTCTTCATGCTAATGACCTTGGTTCTTATTAGGTAAGGTTTTACAGTGCCTGTAACCCTAGCTACTCAGGAGGTTGGGGTAAAAGGAACTGAAGTCAGGGCTGGCCACTGCTGCTTAGTGACTTCAAAGCCAACCTGGTTAACTTAATGAGATTATATCTTAAAATAAAGTCAAATAGCTAACAAAAGTTGCAAATCAAAGAAGTGCCGAGGAACAGAGATGTCTATAGATGAGATTTGTTGCCACATATGAAAATTATTCATGAACTTGGCTTTCTTTTAAACTTCAACTAGGAGTAATAGCCCAAAGGCCTGATACCTGGAAAACAGCATGAGAACGAGAAGATGCAGCATTTATGTCGGTGGGATGCTGTGTCCTGTTTCTGTTTCCATTGTCTAGTAGCTGTAATATTTCCTCTGAGGATTTGGGCTAGGAGTTCAAATAGAAAAGAAATATTTAGTAATCTATCTCTATATATTTCAACTAACTTTTATTTATTTAAGTGCCAGGGACTTAAACCCAAGGATGAACATAAGGAAAGTGTTCAACCAATGAGCTAGATCCCAGACCCTCAGTAAACTTACTCAACAAACAATAGTCTGAAAGGTAAAAGAAAATGTTTTCTATGAATTTATCCTTAATAAATATGGACTATGTATCATTTGTTTAGTACTTAGTGCTACATAAGGAGTAAGAGGTAAAGTCTAGTTTCTGAGTTAAAAATATAAACGTATTTAACAGAATAATAAATTTTCAGTAAGAATTTTAGCAGGAAAAGTATCCCTCAAATATTTCATAAGAAAATGAAACAAGAATATTCAATAAAAGGCAGAATGAGGCCATCCTCAGTTCTGGTCTCCATTCTGATAGTAACTTTGTGACCTTGGCCTTAGGGCCTTAGATACTTTGTAATTCACTTCAGTCTTATATTTCATTAGCTTGTTTGTTTTTCAAACACAGTGGAGTTGAACTAATAGCTGGTAGAAATGGAATCTGCAGATTTGCTATTCTAACGGATAGATTCATAAAACATTCATAAACATACCTGGTGTAAAGTGAGACCCTGAACAACCACTCCTTTTTGGGCATCTTCCCGGACAGCAAGTGGCCCCGAATTTGTCAAAAGGTCACGAATTTGTTCATTATATACCTTATAATAAAAAGAACCACAATAACAGGGATGTCTAAGTAACTAATTATCTCACATGCACATAGCCAACTGAAGGTCTACAACCCCAGATTTTGATCACATCAGTTTACAACTGAATAGTAAAGATGGAGTTATTATACTCTCACCCACTAATTCTTGATTTGACAACTCTGACAAAATAAAGGTAAGCCAGCTTTCTTATCTCTGCAAAACACACCAATTTCAGAGATTAAATGTTAAACAAAAACCCAGTCAGAAACAGGTACATTTATGTGATCTTTTTGCTTGTGCTCTAACAAATAAAGCTTGCCTGAAGATCAGAGGGTGGGCCTAGCCACTAGTTAATCATAGAGGCCAGGCAGTGATGGCACATACCTTTAATCTCAGCATTTGGGAGGAAGCAGGAAGTTCAGGAGTTCAAGACCACCCTGAGCTACACGAGACTGGTCTAGTCTAAAAGAGAAACAGAGCTAGGCGCAGAGGCTCACACCTTTAATCCCAGCATTTGGGATCTCATGGCTTTGATTCTAGAACTTGGGAGGTATATGCCTTTAATCCCAGCATTAGAGAGGTAAAGACAGGAAGTGATATGGCTGGGGCCGAGAGAGGAAATTAAAGCAGGAGTAGACAGGAGCTCAGCTAGAGGTGACTGTGCCTGGCTCCCTTACTTCTCTGATCTTTTAGCATTTACCCCGATATCAAACTCCAGGTTTCTATTACTAAGATCAATTAGAATCTGTGCTACATATTTATGTCATTTACTCCTTCAATTTCAGTCTAACATACAATTAGTAATAGACTCTCTCATCTGATTGTAGAGCTACTAAGACCCTGAGTGGTTTTGCTCAGGGTTATAAAATTAACAGCAGAATAAGGATTGAAGCTTGGCCGTTCTTTACGGTCTCCATTGAACACCCATCTTAATTTTCTATCTGCAGGATCATGTAAAAGAGACTTGTACAAACAATAATTAGAAATAGTATGACTGACTTCATTTTATGGATCTAGTAAAGGCACAAAATTCAGCATCTGCTAACAGATTGATAAACAAGACTTCTGAAAAAAATTAAGAAAAATCAGAATATCAGGCCTTTAAAAACGTTTTTTTCTGGGCTGGTGATAGGGCTCTTGGTAGAGCATTCTGCATTATTAAGATGCACGACATTTTAGGTAGATTCTAAGCATGGGAAAAAATGCACATCCAAACCCTTACAAAATGGCATAGTAGGTGTGTACATATATCATCATTTCCTTTCATGTTCTAGTAGTCTACAGTAATTTTTCTTTTTTTGGTATGTCTCTACATTCAATAATAAAATCGTTCTAAAAATGTAATAACCTTAGGTGAGTAGATACTTTTCTTTTAGATCTTTTTTTTTCTAATATATAGCAGTTACTCTTGACTGCTTCTCCATCCTTACCTGCTTTAACCAACCATGAAAAATGAGTACTCAAGGTGATCTATGAAAGCCAGTTACCTGGAGAATTTATTTTTTAAAGATTTAGTTACTTTATTATTTTGTGTGTATAAGTGTTTCGCCTGCATGTATGTCTATGCGCCACATGGGTGCTGGAACAAAAACCGGTTCCTTTGCAAGAATAAGTGCTCTTAACCACTGAGCCAACTCTCTAGCCCTTACCTGGTGATTTTAACAAGCTTAAATTCCTTGGCTGTAACCAAGGAGTGAAGTGTAGCCAGACCTATTTCTAGAATGTAACAGAAAAAAAATCTTGGTACATGCCCTTAATGATCAAGATCCAATAAGAGAAATACTCTGACACTAGAAAATAAATGCTTAATTAACATTTCCAGTGAAGTCAGGGGTTTCTAAATACTACCTGAGTAAACAATTCCTGTCTGCACCTTAGTTGTCATTTGTCGAATATCAGCTACTCTTATGAGTCCTCAAAGAATGATGAAGTATAACAAAAGGGTAGTGGCAGCTGAAAGCAACTTCGGCTGACCAGATCTTCACAATATGAGCACACAAACAGGAATCACAAATATGTATGTGCTGACATACTTCCATAATCCCAACCTAAAGAAGGCTGAGGCAGAGGATCATGAGTTCACGGCCAGGTTACATGAAATCTATCCTAAAATGTGTTTAAGATGGGTCAAAGTACACACCAAGAAAACTTGATGACCAAAGTTGTATCCTGCACCACTCTTTACCTCACACTCTTTCCAAGGCTCAGAGAAGAGAGGGTGGACAATTAAGGAAATAGCATCTTGTAGACACAACAGGACAGATGTACATATGAATTCAGGGACTGTGACAGCATTCACAAGACCTGTACAAGCTCAAGATGGATAAAACTCTCAGCATTTAGCTGAGTAAGTGGACACAAGGGCCCACCCTTGCACAAGAAGCTATTCACAAATGATAGCTGCCGGGAAAGGGAAAACCATTTTTCTTTAATGGAGTGACACTGGGTATACCAACTACACACTAGAGCAGGTCCATGCTCAGAAGTAATTCGTACTCCATGTTTTTAGTGGCATTTTCTTTTTTTAAAAGAGAAAGAACATGAAATTGCGTGGATAGGGAGAGGGGAAAATCTGGAAAGAGTTGTGGGATATGAAATATAAAATATACTGTATGAAAACCTAATTTAAAAAAGCACCAGATGCATTTGTGTGCATGTATAATGCCAGCACTCGTAAGGGGAGACAGGAAGCAGGGCCTGGAAGGCCAAAATCCAGATAGCCTGACATAAGAGAGATCCTGCTTTAACAAGGTGTTAAGATAGAACCAACTCCTAAAAGATGTCTTCTGATCTCCACATCCATGCCTGCAATCACATACACATAAAAATTATTTTTAAAAAAAAGTTCTCATCCCCTAAATCACAGAAAGTGCCTATAATCTACTATTAAATAACCCATGATTCTGTGATTGTAACAAAGGGAAAAGCTTTCCTTACAGTAAATGCTAAGGAATAAACACAAAAAAATGTTGGTGTCTAAAGATCACCACCATCTATAATTTATTCAAATATGAATAATCAACAAACCCTGCAAATTCCAGGATAATGAAATTTATAAAAGTTAACATTGCCAATACTGGGACCAATCAACTACCTAAGTGAGTTGATATGAAGTAGGAAGCACTCAATACTACTTCTGTGGTGTGTCTGCCAGCATATAAAGCAACTCTAATAGAAACAAATACAAACTGAGGGATTTACGGCAGTGTCAGAAAATACAAAGAAAACACAGAAACTGCTCATTAAAAGAGACCAAAGCAAATGTAATACATGATCTGGAAGGCTTTCAGGAAAAGGCATTAGTAATATAATTAGCAAAAATGCATTAAGGTTCATAGAGTAGACAGTGATAATCACTGTTAACTTGCCGATTTTGAGAAACATTCAGTGACTGTTTAAAATTTTCCTAGTTCACCAAATTTATACCTTAAGCAGTCCCAAATAATAAATGTACACACAACAGAGGTTGAACTGCAGGTGTAAAATTTTAACATATAGGACATCTCAGTGAAGGTCATCTGGAGGTTCTTTCTATAAATTATTTTTGCGATGTCTCTGTGGTGATATATTGTGTACCCTAATAAAATATGCCTGAAGATCAGAGGAGAGGGAAAAAAAGCCACTAGATTAAACAGAGGCCAGACAGTGGCAGCACACACCTTTAATCCTAGCACTCATCAGGCAGAGATCTGTTTGGATCTCTGTGATTTCAAAGCCACCCTAGACTACACAAGACTGACTCAGTCTTGGAGAGAAACAGAGCCAGACAGTGGTGGCAGCACTTGAGATCTCATGCCTTTGCTTGGGAAGCACACATGCCTTTAATCCCAGGAAGTGATATGGCTGGGCGGAGAAAGGTGTATAAGGTACAAGGAGATAGGAACTAAAGGTTTTTCGGCAGAAACATCCCTTTCAGCTAGAAGCCCTTTGGGCTGGAGCTCTTTCAGGCTCAGGAGTTGAGGTGAGAGGAGGTAGCTGTGGCTTGCTCTGCTTCTTTGATCTCTTTTAGCTTTTACCCCAATATCAGGATCCCAGGATTTTTATTATAAGACGTCTCTATAATTTAAATTAAATTAAGAGTAAGATCATGAAAATGTGCATGATTAGGAATGTAATGATTGCAAACATTGGCAAGAAGATTCCTGCATAAAATAGTTTGAATGGACCATTGAGTTTTCTCAGATAATGATTAACATTGAGGTTAGTGACAACTTACCTCCAGATAAGACACTGCAGTACTACACACTTTCTCCTCTTTAATCTCATCCATGGATTTGAAAAGGTGTAACATTGTTAGGTACATTACTCCAGGTTCAGCAGCTGATCCTAGCATTGTGTGAGTCTTCCCAGCTCCAGTGGCACCATATGCAAGTACTGAGTTTTTAATGAAAGGGGTGAGATCAGTGCTCATTGTTACAACATAGTCTAGGGGCTAGTTCTAACTGGTCATCCTGAAGAGTAACTTTAAATCCAATAGGTATCACCTTTAGCACTAATGTAATTTTGTGCCTCCCACACTGTCACAGGCAGAAACATCTATTTTCTTATTTGCCATCAGAATATGTTATCTATCCACATCCCTCCTTTGCAGCATGACCACTCTGCCTCTACCAAGGCAGAGAGTGTATCCTTGTGCTTTAGCAAATAACATAAAGCAAAGCAGGTATACACTTGTTGAGCTAAATGAATTCCACAAAGGCGATTTATAAAATTGCTGTTTTAGGCAAATTACTTATTTGCACAATTCTATCCAGTACTATATAGAAGCCATGCATTTCTTCAAATATAAAAGAAATTGATGGAGTTACAAATGCAAACACCCAATACCATATTCAATTCTCATATATTAATAACCGATAATTTTTGGAATGAATTAAGCTGCTGTTTTACTTTAGCTTATGAAAGAAGTCTTAAGGCAGCTAAATAACATAAAGCCAGAGAGAAACTGAAGGAATAGTATTGACAGGGATCCTTTTTTTTTTTTTAAATACAAGGAGGGGGGGATCTCCAGAACATCTGGATATATGTTAGAATCAGCAGTTCTGACCAATAAACATCATTGTGTTCTTGATCAAAGATGAGGGTTAATTTTCTGTGACAAAAGTGAGTAAAACAGTCTTAGTGAAACATGTTATAGCATGGAATATGTTGTAGAAAACACCACAAAAACTGACAATTATAAAAATGAGAAACAAGTAAGCTATTATTATAACACTGAACTAACTGGTCTTTTCTGAAAGACTAAGTACAGGCTCCCCAAAGTACAAAGTACAAGGAATGCTTCTTGGGCCAAAGAGCTGCTAAAACAGCACACAATTCTCAGGCTCATGCAGCTTTAACCTTTTTAAACTAAGCTACCTTAGAGATGGTGCTGTAAAGAAACTCAAGTGCTCAGCACTGGCAGGCTGTCTGAGAGGGGCAGATGACCGGCAGAGGCCAACGGTGGTGGACACAACTTGTCAGTATAAATGGTGAGAAATCTGGCATCAATTAGAAGCATATGGCTTAATAAAACTGCAAAGACTGTTTACAGGGGCAATGGCAAGAACTTTCTTCTCAAGGAAGAGAGTTTCATAAAAGATAAGCTGCATATGATGACTACATTTCAAAGAAAGCCTGCACTTCAATCCAGTCTACTGGTCTTAAAACTGCTGGAATGCTTATACCTTGAACTTGATTGTATTTACAAGAATAAAACTGAAGCTAGACAGCAAAACTAGATTTCAAACTGAAACAATTACCTGTGCAATTATATCCATTCAGAAAACTATGAAGAATCGGCTTGGTAGTATGTTCAAAAACTTCTGTTTGAGTTGATGTTTCATCAAAAACAGCATCAAATACAAACTTAAGATCTTTATTTGGTCTTTTGGTAATATCAAAATTTGTAGTTTTCTTTTTGTGAAAAAAACTGACTTCTTCTTGTTTTGGATCAAAAACGAGTATATGTTTATCAACAACATGGACCACTTTATGGAAAGCGACTGCCTTTTCTTTTGTGTTCTCAGGTCGCACACGAACAACTACTTTCATGTGGTGACATAAATCTTCCTCAGAAACAGACATTTTCAGGAACCTAGCTGCTGCTTACATGGATGCCTAGGTAGTTCTCTGAAATTAAATAGGAAAAAGTCACTATTAGTTTTACTTAAAACTGGCATGTAATAGACATTTAAAAGGTAATGTTTATGTTCCATTTACCTACAAAATGTATTATATACACATATATATGTATATATATTGTTCTACAAACTTAAACATCCCCCCCCCAAACAGCACACATGTACACAAAAGCATATTAAGAATTTCTTGAAATATTTATTAATCAAGCTCTTGGGCATAAGCTTAAACTCAAATATTAGTGCTGATTCACTTATGATTTGATTTTCACAATGGCTCTTGCACAGTTTTTAGGTTGGATCATGAAGATGAGCAGGATTTTTCTGAATCATATCAGGGTAATAATGGAAATTTTAGCTTGGGAACTCCTTTTAATAAAAGTGATCTTGTCTGTAGGCCTCTGGGTAGTGGAAGGTGATGCATCCAGGCTGTCTGTCTCTACCTGCATCTCAGAGATAGGGTGGGTTAGTTCTTAGGTTGCACTAGCTAGCCAGCCCATGTCTGAAGAGGAGAGAAATAGTATACACTACTTATGCATTCAGAGGTCCTAGTCTCCGATCTCTTAATGACATGCAAATTTAAAGAACCTCAGTAAATGCATAAAGTGTGATTGAACTTTATGACAGTCTCACAGGAACAAAAGGAGACTGATAAAGAACAATAGTTTGACAAGTTCAACCAGCCACAAACAATATAGAGTGGAGAAGCCATGACACTTTCACTTCTGCAAAATGCACACACATGCTTGAGTATATACACACACACTTTTACACTCCCTTGCCCCAAACAACATTTAAGGAGGGACTATTTCTCCTGCTTGAAGCATTCCTTGTATTTCTCTGTGTAGCACTGAGGTCTTGTGGCCTTTCCCTTATTAGCATGTCTCTTGTTATGTCCTTGTTTAGGCAGTTCATGCCCAATTCATGTTTAGGCAGTCATGACTGTGAGGCCTTACAGGTGGAGCTGACATTATTAAGACACACAATCTCACAACAAACCCCTTGACCCCCTGGCTTACTTCTAGAACTTAGAAAGCTGAGTAAGAAGGATAGCTTGAGTTCTAGGCTAGCCTGGGTTCAAGACTGAAGAAATGGCTGGGCATGGTGGTGCACTTTTAATACCAGAACTTGGGAGGCAGAAGCAGGCAGATCTTGGTGAGTTTGAGGCTAGTTTGTTGTATAAAGTGAGATCCAGTCAACTAGGGCTACGTAGACACTGCTTAAAAAAATAAAAAAATCCCACTGGGTGGTGGTGACATACACATTTAATCTCAGCGCTTGGGAGGCAGAGGCTGGTGGACCTCTGAGCTCCAGGCCAGTCAGGTCTCTACAGTGAGTTCCAGGATAGCCAGAAATCTTGTCTAGAAGGCCAACCTCCCCAACCCCCCACATAAAAAAAATAATCCCTGAAGAGAGCTTGAGAGAGGTGAGACACTTGGACCTGTTGGGTTCCAGTCAGTGAGCTGCAGGTGAGAGGTCAAGTCTTTGTTGTCCATTTCTTCAGTTAGCAAACCCTTTAGCAATGCATCAGAGTACACCTGCATGAGACTGGGTGTGTGGTGCCTGTGCGATCAAGTGTTTGCCTCTGATGCTTCGTCAAGTGCCTGCTTTGTCCTTACTACTACCATTCAAGTTACAGTCTCAGCCTGTACTCTGAAAGTAGGCAAAGAAAACTACCATACTAAGTCTTTACTAGAGTCTATGCTAAGAAAATACTTCCAAATATTTTCATTACCAGGAAATAAATGTGAGATCAATTTATTACTTAGATCATCAATTTGCTCAGCCAACAAAGGATATATGCCAAAGTTATAGTGAACTCCATAAATGTATTTCACTAGTACCTGTTAATTAACAACAACAAAACTGGGAAACACTACCAGTTGAATAAAGATTTGAAGGTGTAAAAATTACTATGTAGAGACTCTGAGATATACTTTCACACAGGGAAAAAAAAGGCTAATGGAACAAATGCTAGGATGGCATTGGGTGTGTTAGCTAGAATGAAGTGAATATTTTCAATTTCAGGGTTAAATAACTGAGGTATACACTCTGAACAAAATGCTTGACTAGGTCTTGGACTATGTACAGATAAGATAATATGAAATAACTCGATCAACAAGAGGGAAACCATGCCTGGTACTGAAAGCCTAACCAACTACCCAGGACTAGTGAAGTCATGGGCCTTGGGGGAGAACCTATAATCGCTTTACTAAACCAGCATAATCCCTAACTGCATTATAAATATTTGTCCTTATACCCACAAGTAAGTGCAGTCCTCACCCTTGATCTCTTTGCGACAGATGATGACCACTACAAAACACTACAACCAATCAAAATGTAGATAAACAATTACTGCACTGAAGGCACAGGGATCACTAAGGAAGAGTGTGCAGTGAGATTGTGTCTCCTAGGAATATTAGAAACTACACCCATAAAGCCTTACCAACATGACTACCTAAACATTAGCCAAACAAGGATCAGAATGAAGTTATGCTAAAGCCCAGCAGGCCTCACCCCTGCACAGAAAACTCCAGGCAACTAAGAATAAATGCATGAGCTCAGTGTCTCCTTTCATGTGGATTCTGAGCATCAAATTCAGGTCTTCAGACATGGCAGCAAGTACCTCTACCTGCAAAGCCACCTTACTGGCCCACACACGTATTTCAGGTGGCAAGTCCAAAAGTCTGTGATAGTAACAACCTTGTGAAGGGGAGGCTAATGGAGCTGCAAGGCTAGGTTTTGGCGTGGTCAATTTAATTAAATCATTTATTTCCTTTGTAACTGTTTAGTTTCAAATGCCTGGATGTAATTTTATCTGTAGAGCCTAAAGAATGCTCAAGGGACTCTTTGCTTTCTTGTGCTCCAGCTAGAGAACAAAGAGGAATAGGAAATAAGATCAATCTTTCTGAAAATCTGTAACAGGTTGAGACACAAAGTTACATCTGACATTATTCTTCTTAAGCTCCTTTAAGAGACTGTCAGACTTCTTCCAAAAATGTTACTTGAATAACATTGACTGCCTTTTAAAAAACCCACAGACATTCCCAATTAGTTTCAAACTCAGATGCAAACTCTTTAGACTTTATTAAGGATTTTGAAAGCTTGGCCTCAACCTTACCTAGTTTTATCCTTTTAGACAATGAAAGATCATATTTTTAAAGAATCACACATTTCCCTAATTTCTGAAAACAAGAATGCAAAGAAAACTGTCTTCCCTCCATACTAGTCACTGAACCCAAGACCTATGCTCTCCCATAGAGCTCTACTCAGGATCAATTTTTCTTAATAAAATATCTAGGGCAGATAAAATAATCAACATGTAAATACCCAGGCCCTGTGACACACCTGTAGTTATAGTCTCTGAGGAAGCTGAGGGAGTGCAGATTAAACCCAGGAAATGGACACCAGCGTCCATAACAAAGAGACCACTGACTCAATGAGAAATACATTTAACACATTTTAAAAATGTGAGTATTTCATACATGTATGTAATGTATTTTGATCAACCTTACCTGTAACTCCCTCATGTATCCCCATCATTTTTGCTCAAAACATCTGAGTCCAGAAATATGTGTGTGTGTATATATATATATATATATATATATATATATATATATATATTTAAACTTATTATATTCTATTTACTGCACGTGCATGTGTGTTGTATGTGTCTGTGGGCGTGTGTACAACATCATGCACGTGGAGGTCAGAGGCTAGGTTGTGTCAATTCTCTCTTACCACCTGGATCCCAGAAATGTGCCTTTACCACACTGAGCCATGTCACTGGCCCCAGAAATGTATCCCCCCTTCCTTTTTTTTTTTTGGTGTGTGTGGTTTTTCAAGACAGGGTTTCTCTGTGTAGCCCTGGCTGTCCTGGAACTTGCTTTGTAGACCAGGCTGGCCTCAAACTTGGAGATCTACCTGCCTCTGCCTCCCAAGTGTTGGGGTTAAAGGCATGCGCCACTACCACTGGGCTCAGAAATATATTTCTTAAAGGTAAAAAATAGTTCAAGATACTGATGTCTTCAGAAATTAATGACATTATTCCTACAGTAAAGTGATGCTTTCTTTTTCTAACATGGGTAACTAAGAGATTAGTATCTAGTTGATTCTGTATCAAGTGCAGACCATGTTTAATATGAAACATTTATTGTTTTTTCTCTGTGGAATAAGATGCTCTGAGAATAGTGGTATCATTCTGATAAATTTTGTCATATTTAGTCTTAATTGGTATTTCCTTAAAATAGAATCAACAGAGCCAGTTGTAAGACTTCTTTGGTAGGAATGGAATAAGAGCAGGAGTGGATGGTGGCGGGAGAGGGGGGTAGATGGGAGGTTGGGAGAGGGAACAAGAGGAGAGGAGGGAAGTGAAACTGTGAAATAAATTTAAAATTTTTTTTAAAAAGTCTATAGTGCACCATAGGATCCATTCCAAAACGAGTGGGCATAAAAGAGAATAATGAAGAGGTGATAGATGGTAATATTTAAACTCAGGATTAGACTAGATGGCATTTAAGAGCCTTTCTTGTTCCAAAATTGTACAATTATTCTGTATGTTAAGAGAAACGAGAAAAAAAATGCTGAGGTGATAGCAAATGGGATTGCTGTTTTATACCTCTACAATTCTCAAATATATCATCAATAATCAAATTCATAAACCTATATAAATTACATAGAAGCCAAAAGGTGCTTTACTCATGGACAGGCCCTGACAAGTTTTCTCATAAAAATTAAATTATATACTTGCTTTTAAAAAATTTAAAGACACTTAGCTTGTCTTAAGGATTATACTTTCAAGATATTTTATTATACATATATTATGTAATGACTGCAGCAATAAATTAATAATCTATTGTTATGCATCCCTCATGCTGTGCTGTTAGATACTGTGAATTGTAAGTTAGTTTGTGTATTTGGATTAGTATTTACATATTTCCTCACTCCTCACTAAGTAGTAAATACTGCTTTATTCTTCTGTTGTGCTTTCCTGGAAACCCCAGGGCTTAGCAGGAGAATTTCATTTACTAAAGCAGGAGTGAATTATGAAATGTAACTGTTGATTTTTTAAAATCTTCTAATATCACACAGTAACTATTCTTAACAAATATGATATAAATACTTGGATTAGGTCATTATGGTGATAACTAGCAATAGGGATGATAACATGAGCTACTCTCTGCCAACAATTATAGCAAACATTTCATATTCATGTCATTCAACCATCATAATAATCATGCAAGTTTTGTTTACAACATAGGAACTTAGTAGTTTTTCCAAATGTTTTTACTAATGAGACGGAAAGTGGACCCAGGTCCAAATCCAAATGCCGTGACTAAGAAACAGAAAAGACTGCTTCCAAACAGGGATACAGTAGTAGAATGACATAGAATTCTGTCAAGCTCAAGAAGAAAATCCTGACTCAACACTATTTAGAAGAGGAAACCCCCCTCATTTAAAGTTCCTATCCAGCTTAAACCTTTCTGTACATTAACTTTAGCGTTAAAGCCACTGATTTCACTAACAAACATCAGGGCAGAATGACAAGTTGCCACGGAGGGAAGATCAGCGCTGATAGTGGGCTATGTTTTTTTTTTTTCTATTGCTTTTCATAGCATTAACAGCATAAGGCCACTTAATTGTGTCTTTATTGATTTGAGGTATAACTATAGTGGGACAAGATGCTCTTTAAAATGAAAAACCTTACATACCTGTACTGGTTCAATAATGAGAATACCTCTCATGGCAAATTATTTTTGTCTACTTAAATAGTTCTTACAAGATACTGAATTTAATAGCAAGTACTGTTTATGATCTCCGTGGAATTCATATTCCCTAACACCAAATTTAAAGAAAATTCCCCAAAACCCAAGGTGGGACCTGGGCGAGGTGGAATGACAACACGAAGAATATTAGTTCTAGTCCACTAATCCCTTTTCATGTTATAATGAGCAAGCCTTGGCTTCTTTGTAAGGGCAAGGCCAAAGAGCTCCTCTAGGAAGGGTGGCAAAAACAGCAGAATGTGGGGCTGCTTCTTGCTGTCTCCAGGCACTTTCATCTTTCTTTGTGATCTCCAGCCGTACAGGTGGGCAGTCAGGCCCGGTCTTGCCCGATGCTACAACTGTGCTCCAGACTGACCAGAGAGCCTCTCGGCACAAAAGCTCCTCGCTTGACAGTAAAAACACAGGAGTCGCACACTCACGTGTCCATCTCAGGGAGGATACTCCGAATTTGGAATCCGGAAGGAACCAACACACTCCAAGAGGCTGGACTGTCAGAGCCCTTAGTCCGAGGCCGGGAAAGGGGCCAGCTACCCTTTAAAGGGGCCTGCTTCCTCTCTGTGCTCAAAGGCGAAGCCCGGGACCTCGGAGTTGGGAACGGGGGTGGGGGCCGAACCCTCAGACAGCAGCTCGGGGTCCTCCCAGCCGCAGCACCAAGGGGACCCTAGTCCCGCACTTCCCGCCTAAAGCTACTTTCTCCGCAGACCTGGCCGCTGACGCCGGATCCTCCCCTCCGGCGGCTGAGAGTCCACCCGCGCGTCCCCAGGCAAGGCGCCCACCTCACTCACCTAGAAGAAGCGTCCGCGGCCACTTGGCAGAGTCGGCTTCCAGGCGCTCCAAGTGCAGCCACAAATTCAAACCCAAGCCAGATGGCTCAGCTGCCCTTGCCATTGGCTGCCGTTCTGGTGACGTCACCACGCCGGACGTTGCCCCGGCGTCTCGTAGTTTGGCGCCAGAGGCTGGGCCTCACAGGCTGGAGGGGGAAGCTGCTTTGCTGGGCGTCGCCGTGGCAACGCGCGCGCGGTCGTTTCCGGGAGCCCTGGCTGAGGTGGGCGGAGCTAGGGCGGAGGTGCAAGTGGGAAGCAGTCACCTGGGATCCTTAGTGTGGTCGCAGACCTTGGGTGTGGTGCTTTCTGGCCTTGGGTAGGGTGTTTCTCGTGGGGGGGAAAGGCGGGGTCTGTGGGCGTGTTTAAGGGTTTGAGTTATTTTGTTCTTTTTCCCTTTCTGATTACTCAGGCTTCCAAAGGTTAGGTTTCATGCTCTGGAAGGTATGGGGCCTCTACCTGAATTAATTTTAAGTTCAAGTCTTGTGGCTCCAGGTCGCAAGTCTCCTTGTCAGGGCTTCCCGGCCTGTTCCCGTTAGGACTGACTGAAAATATTTGGTATTTGGCGGCTTTTTACGTGCTCCAAGGATGACAGGACATAATAAAATCCCTTAATGATACTGGCTTAGTACATTATTCAACCAGGTGATTATTGTTTCAGATTGCACTATTTCTGAATGTATACTTTAGGAAGAAAAATGCATGGGAACATGGGAAATATTTTTCCTAAGATAACTCATTTTTCATTTGGCAGAATACTTTATATTTGTATTGTTGGCTAGGAAAGCCTTCTATCAGTGAGTTGACATCCTCAGCCCTTCAGATAAATTTAGTATTCTGATCTTAGTTTCATTGCTGTTGTTTATATGACTATCCATTTATTTAGCAATTATTACTTGCAGATTTTAGGAACACATTAGTACACAATGAAGTCAACATCCCTGCCCTCCTGGAGTTTAGATTCCAGTTGATTGAATATCACTGTAAAATTATGGATGTTTCAGTGTATTGCTCTATCCATCCATTCATCCATCCATCCATCGATTTTATATTTTGAGACAGGCTCTTGCTAGGTAGCGTTGGCTGGCCTGGAACTTGCTATGTAGATAAAGAACTCACAGAGATCTGCCTGTCTCTGCCTCCCAAGTGCTGGGGTTAAAGGCTTGGGCCACCATACCAAGATATGCAGGGTAGTATTGGAATTTTGTGTTGAAAGCTCACAGATCATGGACAGTTCCTATTTCTATTGAAGAAAATCAGGAGCATTGCAAACTTTTTTTTTTTTGTTTTTTTGTTTTTTTGTTTTTTGAGACAGGGTTTCTCTGTGTAGCTTTGTGCCTTTCCTGGAACTCACTCTGTAGGCTGGCCTCGAACTCACAGAGATCCGCCTGGCTCTGCCTCCCGAGTGCTGGGATTAAAGGTGTGTGCCACCACTGCCCAGTTGCATTGCAAACTTTATATCATGCATGTTCTGTGAATTTTTCTGAGCCCTAGATAGTCCAACAATACAGTGACTACTTATTTCTGGTTGAATTAAATGTACCAACTAATGACATCATTTGTGTTGCACTGGGTTTGGCAATAAAATTGAGAAGAGTTCATTTTATTTTAAATATCCCCTAACTATATAGTACTTGAACTTTGGTGTCCCAGGCATATTATTAACTCCTTACATACTATTTCACTTCATTCTCAAAACAGTCAGTAAGATGTAGACATGTTGTTTTGATTTTATTTTGAGAAAACTGAAGTTTTAGAAAAATCTCTATAAGAAAGTATTTGTCTTGGAAAATGAATTCAAAATTCAGCCATTTGTTTTTTTTTTTTAAAAAATACTTTCTATGTCAAGTGACTATAAAATGATATTTTAATCTAATTTGAAAATATGTTTATCTTGCCATCTTGTAAAATTATCTTGGTAAATGAATAAGATGCATAAATTTCATATATCAGTTTTTGTTTTTTTACATCCACACTGTATAGGCTTCTACCTAGCCCAAATACTATACATTTAATTTCAGCTCCGCATTGCACTTGCTTTATAGTTTTCCAATTATGAAATCTATACTCTTGAGGAATCCTACATTTGATTAAAACAGAGAGGTTTTGGCAATAGAATCAATGCCATTGTCGTGCAGTTGGCAACTCATGAGTTTGGCAGAAGTAATAACAGGACGAGAGAACCTCATGCTTTCTACCAAAATGAAAGACGGAAAAACAAAATTTCCAAACGTACAGAGCTAAGAAAGTTGAAATTTTCATCTTTGGTCCAATTTAGAAATTGGACGTTGTATGGAGCCATTACAAAATTAATGTGCTTTTATAGTCGACCGAAGAGAAAAGTGAAAGTTAAGTTTAAACTTGCGTCGAACATTAAATCATTTTGTTTTTAAACCGTTAAAGGTGTATTTAAACTTGGCAATGGTGAGATCTTATTTTCCTAGGGAGTCTTTTGGAAACCTTTGACCCACAACACCCTCTCACAGCAGGTGCTGGGAGCAGCGGAACGGAAGGCGGACAGACCTCAGTTGCTCAGACGGACTTGAGCCCATCAGTCCGTTCTTACAAGTTTCCCCCACCCCCGACCTAGGTGCATGCAAGTTCAGGTTCTTCTGCTTCTTAGCGTCGCGGCTGGCCCATCTTAGACGCTGACTGAGGACTCTACTTTCCTCAGGTGAGGGGAAGGTTGTGAGTGGCTAGTTCGGGGTTGGTGACGGTGTTTTCTCGGTGTAGGGGTTGTGGGGAGCGGATCCCCACCCTGCAAAGGAAGTAGAGTCCCCTCCCCCAACTTCCCCCGGTCTACTTGTCAGCCTGACTTTGAAGATTCCCAGCGTTCCCAATGCTCCCTTTGAAGATTGCCCTGGACGGACTGGAATCCTCTCTTTTCCACTTTTCTCTAAGGTCCCGCCAGCCTGCAGGTCCTGTTTCTAGCATTAGAATTACATTTGTAATATTTTCCTGTAGGGCAGATTAATGATAGTAACGGTTAGCAGTCCGAGTTTGTATTCCCACAATTAAAAGAGTAACCTGGCCAGTTTTGTGGTCTCCACAGCTTAAGGGAACATTGCCCGTGTGGAAAAGTTAAAAGGTTTACCTGCAATACATTGCAGGCTACTTTAGAGGCCAGGTTTACTGACTGGCAGTAAATTTAACAATCTTACGAGGTTGCAGAGGGATCTGGTTTCTCTGGTAGGAGACTGGGCTACAAAGACAGAATTCCCTTTGCAGTTTGCACTCCATAATTTTTAGGGCACTATCCCAACAGTGTGATACTACAAATAATCTAAAGACCACAAAGACTACGAATAATCCTTTATCTGCAATCCCTTCTCCATGTTTAGTTGTATGGAGCCATTTAGTTCATTAAAATAAAAATGTTCGAGCTGGGCGGTGGTGGTGCACGCCTTTAATCCCAGCATTTGGGAGGCAGAGGTAGGCAGATCTCTGAGTTCCAGGCCAACCTGGTGTACAGAGCGAGTTCTAGGGCTACAACGGGAAACCCTGTCACAAAAACAAACATAATTAGGCTTTACCTTGAACATAGTTGAATGAATGCATAAAATTTGAGTACAACAAAGAATAAAATGCCAGTGCAAACAATTTCACATTTTTTTTTTTTTGGTTTTTCGAGACAGGGTTTCTCTGTGCATCTATTTTTATTTGCTTTACTCACACATTTTGAGGTGTCCGTGTCGTCCCCCCCCCCCCCCGAGACAGGGTTTCTCTGTGCATCTCTGGCTGTCCTGGAACTCACTCTGTAGACCAGGCCTGCCTCGAACTCACAGAGATCTGCCTGCCTCTGCCTCCCGAGTGCTGGGATTAAAGGCCTACACCACCATCGCCGGGCTCTTTTGAGTTTTTTGTTTTTTGTTGGCAACATGCTTCCTTTAAAAAAAGAAGTCATGATCTGGACGTGGGGCCGGGGATATGGCTCAGTGATTAAGTGTGTGTACCCTGGAAGACCTTAGTTCAGTTCTCAGCCCTCACATCATTCTGCTCACCACAGCCTGTAACTCCAGCTTTGAGCCATACAATGCCTCTGGCCTCTAGTGGTGCCTGCATTCATGTGTATCCTCAAAGATAAAATAAGTTATTAAAACTGTCAGGACATAGAGTATAGGTTTTTAATTATTCCAGATTTCATTCTTTTGCTTAATGCATTGAGTGCCTTTTATTGGTGATCTAACAACACTGTTACTTCCAAGTAGAGCAAAGCCAAGATAGTTCCCTTTAAAAATAGAATTTGTGAGATACTGCATATACACATATACATAGTCCATGTAGTGTACCATCAAATTAAAGGTATACATTAAAATAGTTCCACTGGGTTATGTTTCTAGCATGGAAGATAAAGATCTCAGGCTCTGAAGATAGACCATTGTGTTATAGTTACAGTTATGGCTCTGGCTCTGTGGCAAGCAGTTTAGTTTCTTCAGTGTGTAACATAGGAATAATTACCCTGAACTCCAAGAATTATGATAAAGATTGCGTGAGGTAGAACATGGATTTTGCTTAGAATTGTTGGTACTTAGTGCTGAATAAAAATTTGCTATTATTTTGAAAAAAAAAATAGATACATTAAATTAAAGGGTAGTTGTGCTTGTTTTTTTTTTTAAGTTATCTGGAGAACTTAAAGAATAATTAACAATTTGGTTAATTTGTCGATGCTTAAGGTCTAGAAATTCACTTTAGAGTTTTATTTCTAGTCTCTGTCACCTTTATTTTTTCACTATTTCTCATTGGCACATAATTCAGTGGATTATTTCTCAAGCAAATTTAATGTGTTATCTTTTAACATCTTATTGATGCTCTATCTATATAGTGTATGTACATACATTTGTATTGCATTTTGTTTTAGTCAATACATTTGAATTATTTTACTTTCTATTGCGAAAGGAAAAGGAGACATCTATATGGGATTTGTTTCTTCAAGTAATTTGAAAATGTGAATTAGTGGGTACAATCATACCAGACTGATAAAAACATTTATATTGTGAAGTCTGGAATGTATCTCCTGGTCTGTGTGTTCTCCTCCCCTCCACTGAAACACTTGTTAAGCACTTATCATTCATTTGATTTTTGTGGATATGGAATCATAGGA